AGTGTCCTGACTTCTCTCCCTCAGAGGCAGGGTTCCTAGACGAGGTGACCCAGGACAGCTTCGTGCTGGGCCCGGGCTACGACCGCCCCTACCAGCTGGAGCCCGCGGTGAGGGAGCCCAAGAGCATCCAGCTGTACCAGCACCTCAACCTCAAGAGCTGCATCTGGACCTTCGACGCTTATTACGACATGACCGAGTTAACTGATGTCTGTGGGGGCTCTGTCACCGCTGACTTCCAGGTGAGAGGCCCATCCAGAGCTCTCCAGGTATCCCAGATCTCTCTCAGTTCTCAGGCACAGCTCTGCCGTGTGTGGAGCTGCTGCTCTGCCCTGCACAGGTGGAGCGTGGCTTTCCCCCCACCCTCACCTGGAAGAAAACAGTGCTGTGTGCATTTATTTCATTTATTTTCCATTTCATTCATTTTCCATTTATTTTATTCTCTAAATCTTCAGAGTGCCAGGAAAATACTGGTTTCTTTTAATGTAGGGCCGTACTGGAAATACAAAACGTTCTCAGCTGGGCTCCCTTTTATAAGTTTGACTGTGTTCTCGGCCAATAGAAATGAGCAGAGGCGGCTCAGGCCATGCTCCACAACATGGGATATTTTGGCTCATTCCCTAATTAAGAGACCAGAAGCCAAAAATGTTCCTCTAGAAACGAGTGGCTTTCCCTGTTTGGGGTGTCTCACTGTCCTCTCCTGGCTGCGTTATCCACGTGCAGCCCACTCCATCTCCCCCAGGCTCTCCCATTAAATTGCTTGGACCAGCATCATCTCTCTTAATTCCTGCCAGCCTGGAACTAGTTCCTGAAGTTTCCTTTTATAGCTCCAATTGTTTGCACAAACCCAGAGGAGCCGCCTGGCCGGAGAAACTGCCCAGTGGAGCATGTGGAGCCTGGCCCCAGCCAGGCTGGAACATCTCCCCGAATTCTCCAGGGCCTGCAAAGTACAGCTGCACTCTGCAGATAATAAATGGAGAGCTCTGGGAGGCCTGAGCAAGCAGAATTGCTCATTTTTAATTCACAGCCTTGGAAATCAGGGGGGTTTTGAGGTGAAATTGTGCCCAGAGTTCCTTTGTCCCATGGTCCCAGGGAGCCTTAGCACTGCCCCCGCATTACAACGCCGGTTTGTCTGAGGTACCTGCACGTAAAGAACGTCCAGAGTCACCTCTGACTTCACTGCAAGGCGCATAACCCCCTTTCTGGGGTTTTATTGCCAGGCAAGGGACTCTGCTCAGTCCTTCCTGACAGTCCACGTCCCTCTCTACGTGTCCTACATCTGTGTGACGGCACCGAGGGGCTGGGCTTCCCCGGAGCACCGCAGCGAGATGGAGTTCTCCTTCTTCTACGACACCGTTCTCTGGAGGACAGGTGAGCCTGAGGCGCTCCAAGGGCTATGGAAGAAGTGGTTCCTTCATGTTTTCCCCTTAGCTCCTGCACTGCCCCCAGAGTCCTGAGGGAGCGGGGAACTCGGAATATTGCCTTCCTCTGTGCTTGCGGGGGGCTTAGGCAGCCGGTGGCTGACGGAGGGAGCGTG